CAAAGGAATCCAAAAGGGCTCGTATTAAAATGTTTCCCCACTCTCAAGTTCCAGTAATCCATGATATTACGAGGGTTCTAAATCCTAATCTTGTTAATCATCACTGATTCGTAATTATAAATGTCTAGTCATGATAGGGCGAAAGCCATATCTGTATAATAAGCAGCTCCTATTTGCTTGTCTTTTCAAGTGTTTAGGCCACAGTTATGCTGCACCAGGACGCATGCCCTTCACCATTTATCGCTATATTCTGCCACCGACGTAGTACTGATGAGAACAAGCAGTAGCCCAACTTTTTATAGAGCACTATCTACTCGTATTTGCATGTCTATCTTACGTACATAGACCAAGACTACACAGGTTCATCCAAGTTAAGATACACGATATAAAATAATTATAATCCATCCAAAGAGGGATGACATTAGGTGATGCACCAAGAAAACAAGACGCAATCAACACGAATATGAAAAATGAGAATAACTGGGTATGTATAAAAACTGGGTCTCGAATATTCTTTTAATAGATTGGTGCTGTAGTCCATTTCATTGCTCGTTTATAAGTAGAGTTTCGAGACTATCAGTAAAACAGTTATATGAGATGTATTTAAAATATTTCGTTTAATGTGATGAAGGACTGGTGGTTGAATTTTTGAACAATGCTATGAATAGAGCTGACGTTTTCATTGGATTTCACAAAGCTTGCTTTCCTAAAAGGTTTTCTCATCCAGAGTAGACTGAGGTTTTGACCTCGCCTATATCTTATCAACACCCCCCATGGGAGTCTAACCGTGACAGTGCAGCATATGAGCTTTAAGCGCTAACCACTCAACCACATTGCCACGATTACCCTTAGGTTACAAGGCAGATGTGAATTTCAAGGAAAGCCAGACCTTTTCCCATATCACATTCTTTGGTGGGATTGTCGATGAAGCTTACTTATTTTTCCATAAAAATCGACTACATCACTGATTCTTTTAATATAAGCAGAATTAGGTTAAATCAAAACTGCAGTCCAACCTGGATGAAGAGCAACTCTTAAGAAAGCAAAGCTATTTGAAATTCAATTGAAACGTCAGTTCTATTCATATCATTGTGGGAAAATTCAACTACTAGTCCGTAGTCACCATAAACGAAATAGGGTGAATACATCTCCTATACCTTTCGTTTCGTTTGAAAAGGGGAATGGAAGGAATTCGTAAGTTGGACGCATCGTAAGTTTCATCGGGGTCGCAGGGCGGTGCACCAGGGACCTATTCGCAGAAATCTAGTCACAGCTCCAAAGCAATCCTCATACAGCTTCTGGTAAGGCCAACTTCCGAAACCTTTACAGTCGCCTCTTTAAACGAAATGAGAATACTTACTTTGTTTCAACAATTCGGCAGCCTTCAGATCCGCTTCGGACGGCTTGCAAGTATATGCCTGGTCTGTTAGACGCATCCAAGTGACATTGTGCATATCGCCCGACTGAGAAATCTCAGTTGTTGTCCCACTGACAGATACTGGCAGCCAATGACCGCTACGATGATCTGTATCACCCAAAATCATGCGGAAATCCGGCATCTGAGGCACATCATCTGTGGTGGAAGTTTCAATATTCTGTGCGGAGTCTGAAGAAATGGTTGCATCTGCAGCATCAGAAGAAGATTTAATGTCATCTGAATGCTTAAAAGTCGGAGAATCGTGAGCCCTAGCAAAAGAGTCAGCAGACTGTTCAGGGGCTATCGCTTCATTATCGTCTAGCCCAAGGTTGGCCAGGCCAAATTTGAGTACATTTCCTAACTGGTTTAAGAGGAAAGAAGAAAGGCATAAAGGAAGTCGGCGATAATAATAATTAATGGTTTAAGGCCATGGTTTACAAAAAAATATCCTTTTGAAAGGGCGGATACAGCAGCAAAAATTTTTGATAATGCAATAGGGAATAGATGAGGCTCAGAATAAGCTTTATCCAAGTCGTTAATAAATAAAAATTGTTATAAAACTTTGCAGGCTGTAAGCTGCTATGGAAAGAACTTATCATATCAAAGTGAAAAAAATTAATATGTGATGCGACCTCATTTTGCAACTTGCATGTGTTGTTAGGGTAGCCTCAAAGAGTACACCTAGACAGGAGTCCTCTGGACTTGGTAAATTACATGATATTTCGTCGCCATTATCAATGGACCTTGCCGTTCTTAACACCATGACGAGTTTTATCTTTGTGCTAAGATTGACAAGTTTCACAGATTTTGCTGACTATGATCCGGGCGAAACATCTGAGAATGTTCCAAGTCCACGGTCCGACGAAGGAAATTATCATGATTTCTATGGCAGAGGACTCCGGACAAGGCGCGTTCATCAAAGCTCCGCTGACAACATGACCAAGTTTTAAAAATGAAGTCAAACTCCTTCTATACACCCAAAGGAGACTTCGAATAAGATAGATGCTACCTCATCATGGTCTTGAGTTTC